AAAAAAAAAAAAGGAAAAAGAATCAGGGGAAAGGGCTAACAAACATGGCCGTTGGAAGCGGTGTGGCTCTGCACCGAGAGGTCCCTATTTACTGTACTGTACAGTGAGTGGGGTTTGCTATTGACTCTGCCTTTCCTCTTCATTCTTACCTTAACGACTAGTGGTGATATAATATACAGAACTGTATTGATGTATCGGGAGTAACAGGAGGAGCCATTAACCAGCAGAGAGGGAAAGTATAATCTCAAAATGTGCCTCGATATTTAAACTTAGCAGCGTGTGCTCAGCAAGGCACCCGCAGCCTCCCCCCGGCGCTCTCCAGGCAGTGAGGGACATGCCTCATGCCGTGCACCACGCTCCGTCCTCGGGCTGGGCAAGAGACTCGCTTTTTGGACCCGTGCCTTGACCACGCTCCAGGAGAGGACAAGTCCTCAGTGACAAATACTTATGACAAAAATAGTGCAATCGACTTCTCCTGGCCAGAGGTGTGTGTTATTGTCTGAGGTGCTTACGCAGGGGAGAAAAAAAAGATGATGTTTGCTTTAGGTGAATGGGAAGTGTAAACTCTCCAAGTTTGTGTTTTCTTGGGATCTTTCGTTTGTATCAGCTGAAAAAAAAAGGTGAAGCTTACTGCTCAGAGCAGAGAAAGCTAGTCACTGCACTTCAAATTCAAATATCCTTTTTTTTTTTTTTTTTTTATTAAATTGGTTCCTTCCAGGACTCACCTAAAAGGCACACATCTGTGTGGGGATGGAGGTGACTTCAGGTGTGGCTCCTTGCCTCCCACCACACATGCATAAATCCAGGAGTCATTCTAGGAGGACTTGTTAAATGCAAAGCAGCAGCAAATGGATGACAGGCACTTTTAACTGCAGCCTAAATGTAAATATAGACTCCAGCTTGGCCTAGAGTCACACCATTATGGCTGGGGCAATCAGCAAACCTGTTCAAAGGGACATTTGGAAGGATGCTATGCGGAGTCACTCATCTTTTAACACTGTAATGATGGGAGGGACCAGCATTTTCACAGAAGAGAGACCCACCTTGTAAGGACTGTTTGTTCAAGGTACAAACCAGAATCTATTTCTCTACACCTTTTATTATTTCAAATGTATACGGAGGGCTTACATCAAAACTACAGGCGACAATTAGTATAAATAACGCTTTAATCAATGGCAGCAAAACATTGGTAAAATCTATAAAAAGCATCACAATTTAACAGAGATGAGAGCATTGCTGGACAATGCAACCATTTAACAAAGGCTCCAACACACAAGGTTTCACCCATGATAAACAAAAATAACCAGCTTTCCTTCCGACACAAAATAACTCTGGAGAAGGGTTAAAAACCAATAAAAACTAAACCTCAGGTTTGTTTTCCACAGGAGATAATGACCAGTGGGTGCTCCTGGTCGTTATTACAGACATTCCTGACCCTTCGGAGCATTGGCAGCTGGAAACTATTTCTTTTTGGTACTTTATGCCTCCAGCTCACGTATTCTCCGAGCTTACAGCGCAATTACAACTATGTAAACTTACAGTGCCCCAGCATTGCTCAAAGGGGACTTGCAAACAGGGCTGTAAGAGCTGTGCCTGCTGAACCCAACACTCGTCCTGGAGGTATTAACATTTCAAAAGACAACGAGACAAATTCTGCTCTCAGCTACGTCCCTGTTTGACTTCAGTGGGCGAGGGGAGGAAATCTGGGAGCAGAATTTGGCCCTTTAACTTCAGGAGCCATCTCTGTCGATAAGACGCACAAAGCAAGGATTTGCTTATCCAAGGCCATCATTTTCCAGCACTGTACCACCGATGCCAAAGTTGGTAGCTCTCTGTCGAATAACACGTTTGCCCTGCTCCCAGCCAACTTATCATAGACTTAAGTAAACAGCGGGGGTCCGGGAGGGGGATTTTCATGAAAAGCAGCCAGAGG